AAGGTGTGGGCCGGCCTAGTTCCTGGCCAGGTAGGCTGGGCCATTACCTAGTGGGAGGTGGCTACAGCATCTGCCACTTCTGCTGCCGCCACACTGCCACTACCAGCCGAGCCAGGCCTGGCCTTCCAGACAACTATTTTTAGAGGTATTCGAGGCTACCCACAGCACTCTGGCATTGGGTGTATAAGTACACACCTGGGAGCAGTGGGCCCAGGGTTCGAGGGGTTAGAGGGCATTGGGGAGCTGGGCAGTGTACCAGTTCCCTTCAGTAGAGAGCCAGGTCTGTGGAAGAGGCACACCAACAATGCAGGCAGGGTGAAGTGGGGACGGGCGGGTGTGTGGGGGCAGGAGAATGGGAGGGCCTGAGGACAGGGGGCAAAGCCCAAACACCAATTTCCTTTCCTGGCACCGAGCTGATTCCTGGCCGGAAATGGATGAGAGAGACTGGGAAAAGAGAAGTATGAGTCCCCCTTCCACCCTATCCCTCAAGTGCTTCCCCTTTCCCCCAGGAGTAGCCTCTGTCCCTCTCCTCCCAACCCAGGGGCCCAGCTCCCCAAGCACACTGGTGGACTGGGCTACTAAACCATTATCACACCTGCCTGCCTACGCCTGATTTGTTCATTACAGTGGAGGAAGCGGGGTTCTGGGAGGGGAATGGCCCAGACATTGAGAGTTGTATTTGCTCTAATAGTGGCAGGATGTGGAAATGCCCCCCCAAGTGTTGGGGTGCCACCCAGGTGAGGTATCTTGGTTGTAAAGTTTCAGCCACATTACAGCCAGAATTTCTCTCAGCCAGGTGGGCTTTTCAGGAATGGCAGACCTGAAACCTGCCGGGCTCCGCCTCTGGGTGTGGTGGGGGGCAAATTCTCCGTTGCTCTTCCTGCTGCAGCTCATCCCTGGGATAGGATGGGCCATGGGGTCACTGGGTGCAAAGACCTGGGGTTGGTGGTGTGCTGGGAGGGTCATGCTGGGATCCTCTCTCACCATCTATAGGTGGGGATGACGCAGGGCCTCTAAAGGTGGCAGGCAAGAGGGCAGGCAGAGTGGAGGCAGAGGCTTTAGGAACTGGGTGGTGGGGGTGTGGGGCGTTGACTGCCCAGAGCGCCCAGTGACCCCATGATTCATGGCGCCAATTGAGGTCCCTGAGGTCGGGCGAGCAGGGAGGAGTTGTGTCTCCGGTGTGGACTCCTAGTCTGACTCTCTGGTGTGACGCCTCTGGTGAAACTAGAGAAGGAAAGGATTGCTGGGTGGAAAGGCTTCACGCCTTGTAATTCCAGCACTTTGGGAGGCTGGGAGGGTGACCACTCTGAGGTCAGAGCTTGAGACTCAGCCTGGCCAACATGGCAGGAAAACCCTCTGCTTTCTACGGCTAAAATAGCAAATTAGCCAGGCATGGTAGCGTGACACTCTGTAATTCCCAGCCACGCTGGAGGCTGCTGAAGCAGAATTGTTTGTCCTGAAGTGGAGGCTGCAGAGCAAGACCTTGCCACTACCCAGCGGCTGGGCAGGTGAGCTGACTCGTCTCAAAAAAAAAAAAAAAAAAGAGAATTTGAAGCAGCCCAGCTTGGGATTGACCACGCTGGCATGGGTGGTGTCCAGCGGATGAGAGTTGGGCCCTGGGGGTGGAGGAAGATTCCAGAGAACCTGTGAGCCTCGGGCCTGCAGCTGGGGGCCATGGAAGTTGCTGGAGCCTCAGTGAGCTGGGATGTTTATGGAACTCCTGCCATGCTGGGAAATGTCAGACCTGCAGAGCAGAGCGGGATGAATGCTCTGCCAGCCTGGTTTGACAAAGGCTTCAGGCACTGATCCCCACCCCCTCGCTGCTGGAAGGCAGGCACCACTGCCTCAGAGAGGGGGCAGTGCCTAAGTGTAGAGGCAGGTAGGAGGACTGCAGAGAAACATGGCTAATTTTTATAAGCAAATGACCAATTCTACAATATACAGATGGGGAAGTGGGGCTTGAACCCCAGCCCTTGGTTGGCTCGGGTCTTCCCTCAAGCACCAGGCTACATGTCATGAGATACTGCCACAACTTTGCTGTAGGTGATAATGGGAACTCTGTGGCTCCCAGAAGTTTTCTCAGTCACCTGCCACTTAGGTTAGGCCAGGTGGATGGAGGTGATATGACTCCCAGCTTGCCCTGCTGGGGAATTTGGAGGCACAGGTGGAAGGGAGGGAGCAACCCAGAGGAGGGTGGCACAGCTAAGGCAAACAGTTCTAGAAGTGGTCAACACAAGCCAATGGGCAGAGAAGGAGGCAGGAGGCAGGTGTCTCATATTTGCAGCTGTGACTTTGCTTCACAATCCAGCAGGAGGACTTCTGCCTTAGCCCAGACAGGCTGTCATGGGAGAGGAGCTGGAGGGACCTGTCAAGTGAACATTCTCCTCATGCACTGAGCAGAATGGAGTTGGGAGCTGCCACAGACCCGCAGATCTGCGCGCTTGAACCCCTACTCCACTGTCATCTGCGATCGCCTGTTATCAGATGCCCAGCTGGCACCCAATGAGCACTGCACAGCCGCTCTCAGGTGTTGGTGATGCTGGATGAAAATGGGACAGATAATGCTTCTGTCCTTGTCGGATAACTTCCAGGAGGCACAACTCCTGTTGACAACCGCTGTATAGGATATAACTGTGGAAGGATACGAAGCTCTAGAATGATAAGTGACAAAGCTGGGGTGGTGAGAGGTTGGAAGAGCACTTGCAGGCAGCACACAGCCTGGGCAAAGACCGAGCCTGAGGGACCAGGGAGCTTATGGGAAGTTGGTGAGTTAGAGCGGTTCTCATGGAGTGAGAGTGGTGGACCAGAGGTGGGCCTGGGTTATGTCTGTGGCTGTGGGCCAGTTATTTCACCCTCTGTGCCCCGTCTCTTATCCTTGCCATCTCTAAAAATGGGAATACTAACCTTCCGGTGGCTCTGGAAGATTTGAGTGTGGCATCATAGGTGGGGCACCCTGTTGCAGGCAACTCAGGTGTTGACTGCATGTCCATTGTTGTTATTACAGGAAGGTTGAATCTGTCCTGCACACCCTCCTCTTCCCCAGGCAAGACTGGCCAGACCTAAGGGCCCTTGAGTAGAGGCGGTTGTAAGTCCGCCCCAGCTCCCACTTGCTGTGCTCCCACTCAATGCTATGGAACCAGCTAAGGTACTAGGCTAAGTGGGTCCAGACATCCACACGGATTCTGGGAAAGGGCAGGTCAAGCAGGCACACGTGGCCCAGGTTACCCTTATTCCCGCTGCGGCATGGGGCTGGGAAGGGCTGGGGGTTGGGGTATCATGGGACGTGCTTCCTTAATGGCTCCTGTGTGTCACTGCTGGTGGATTTTGTCCAGCCGTCAGCTACTCTGCCTCTCACAGCACCAAGATGGAAGTCAAAGGTCAGCTGATCAGCTCTCCTACCTCTCACGCCCCAGGCTCAGTGGCTCTTCCCCTCCTGCTGCCCTCCCTCTCCTCTTGTTTCCAAATCACCACCTGCTTGCTCGAAGAGCCAGTCCCTCATAGCTCCGCCAGCTGCTCCAGAATGCCCTGGCTGTCCCGAATTGATCTTTGCTCCTCTGTGTCCAGAGCTGCCCTGCTCGGAGAGCTGCCCCCAGGTGAAGCCAGAGCTGTCATGGGGCTGCTTGACCGGCAGCTGACCCTGCAGGAGCCCTGGAACCGAAACTTCAGGAGCTCCGCAGCGTGTCTCCCAGGAGGCGGTGAGGGCCTGGCCCTAGGTTATCAGGCAGGGAGGTTGGGAGGAGGTGAGAAGCTGGGGGCCCTAGGTAGACAGACTTGGGTGGCAATTCCTCAATCACTTGTCTCTTAGCTGTGGACTCCTGTCACCCTCCAATTTCTCTCAAAGCTCAGCTTAGATATGTTAGAATGAATGAAAGGAGGCTGGGTGCTGTGGCTCACGCCTCAACCTTCAGCACTTTGAGAGAGGCTGAGGCAGGTGGATCACCTGAGGTCGGGAGTTCGAGACCAGCCTGACCAATATGGAGAAACCTCTCTGTCTCTACTAAATGCAAAATTAGTCTGGGCACAGTGGCTCACTTCTGTAATCCCAGCACTTTGGGAGGCCAAGGCGGGCAGATCACGAAGCCAGGGAGAGATTGAGACCATCTTGCCAACACGGTGAAACCCCTGTCTCTACTAAAAATACAATACCAGCTGATGTGGGCAGTGGGCACACCTGTAGTCCCAGCCACTTGCGGGGCTGAGGCAGGAGAATGCTTGAACCCGCTGAGGTGGAGCTTGCAGTGAGCTGAGATCACGCCACTGCACTCCAGCCTGGGCGACAGAGAGCAAGACTGTCTCAAAAATAAAAAAAAAAAAAAAAAAAAAAGCAAAATTAGCTGGGCGTGGTGGCTCACGCCTGTGATCCCAGCTACTTGGGAGGCACTGAGGCAGGAGAATTGCTTAAACCCGGGAGGTGGAGGTTGTGATGAGCCGAGATTGCACCATTGCACTCCAGCCAGCCTGGGCAACAAGAGTGAAACTCCACCTCAAAAAAAAAAAAAAAGAAAAAAGAAATATGGTAATACAGGCCCACTGTTGACTGTTTCAAATCCAACAAACTTCAGAAAACAGGTTCTGTCCAAAATTTGGCAGCACAGTCTGACCTGAACTGGCACAGGGTGATCTGTAGTTTCAGTTTACCCCTCTTACTGTGAATGCCCACAGTGTGCCAGAAATAATACTATAGCTCAGACCATGCAGCCACAGCCCCTGAAGGGAGTTATGTAATACTTAGGATCTCAATGGTGTCCCCTTTATAAAAACGAAACAATTCTGGATTCCAAAGCAGGTTTCCCTACCTCCCATGCCCACCACCCCAGGGGTTTGGGCCACTGAAGTTTGGGCACACCTGCCTGGTGGAGATACTGGGAGGGGAGTATCATGCGTGGGTGCTGAGCCGGGCCAGGCTCCTGGTAGAACTTCTGTGGCTTCTGGGATCATTAATGCTTCACCCCATCCTTCCAACTAACCCTTGGTAGTCTCTGACCCCTGCCTCCCACCAGGAGCTGACTGGCCAGCTGCCCCCTGAGTGCCCACTAGAGCCTGGTGAACGGCCCCAGTTGGTCCGCCGGCGGCCCCCCACCGCCCGTGCCTACCCTCCACCGCACCCCAACCAAGCACACCACTCCTTGTGCCCTGCTGAGGTGAGCAGATGGGTGTGGAGAGCAAGAGGGTGGGGAGAGGGGACAGGTACAGAGGAGTAGCCAGGAGGAAGGTGTGGGGAGGGGGCTTGTGGCCAGGTGAGGAAGCTTGTGGCCAGGTGAGGGAAAGGCTAAGATGAGAAGGAAAAGGGCTTCTAGAGGTAGGTTCCTGCGATGAGGGAGGATGCTGGTCCCTAACTGTCAGGACAGGCCTCCCACCCTCAGGAAGATGAATCGACCCAGCCCTTCACCGAGAGGCCCTGACCCGCCCCCTCCCCCAGGTGAATAAGCTCCACCTGTAGGTGAATAGGCCTGAATAGGCTGCAGGAAGTACAGGCCAGCCTCTAGTGGGTTTGGCCCCGCCAGGTCCCTGTTCCTGGCCATTTCCAACATTTGGGTGGGCCCGACAGGAGCTGGCTCTGGAGGCCCTGGAACGTGAGGTGTCAGTGCAGCAGCAGATCGCGGCAGCCGCCCGTCGCCTGGCCCTGGCCCCTGATCTGAGCACCGAGCAGCGCCGGCGCCGTCGCCAGGTCCAGGCAGACGCACTGAGGAGGCTGCACGAGCTAGAGGAGCAGCTCGGGGATGTCCGGGCCCGCCTTGGCCTCCCAGTGCTCCCGCTGCCCCAGCCACTGCCACTGTCCACGGGGTCAGTGATCACCGCCCAGGGAGTCTGCCTGGGCATGCGCCTCACTCAGCTCAGCCAAGGTGAGCATCCCCTGGTGAGGGTGGGAGAGTGGACACTGGCAAATGAACGTGGTAGGGCTGGGATGGCTGAGTGGCCAGTGAAAACCAGGAGGTAGGCACAACTCAAGTGGCCCAACCCGTGAGAAGAGTTGTGACAAACTGGCTTACCGGAAAGGACAAACTGTGGGAGACTGATGAATATCTGCTGGGACAGTCAGGAACCAAGCTGGGGTGGTCTTGGGCTCTGGTAAAAGCAGATTCTTGGGAAGGGAACAGGATGAGGCGGAAACTGGCCGGAAGGTGGCCCAAGTAGAGGTGCTCACCCAGTGGTGTAAGGGGACGGCACCCAGGCCTGGGAGTGAGAGGCCCACTTCTCCCCCTCTCACCTATAGAGGACGTAGTTCTGCACTCAGAGAGCAGCTCCCTCTCAGAGTCTGGGGCCAGCCATGACAACGGTGAGGACTCCTGTCCCCCAAACCTGCCCCCGACTCCTATGTCCCCTCAGCCCATCATCGCCTTTATTCATCCGACCACATCCTGCATGATCAGCCCATCCTTTGATGCCCAGCCCCTCCTGTGCTGCTTCAGCTTCTCCTTAGCCATGATCCATCTTCCTGTAGGTCCCCCATCTTCTTAGCCTCACCCCACCCCAACCCCCAGCCCCACAGCCCCAGAACCTACTCGTCAGTCTTAGCTCCTCCTCAGCCTGCTTAACCTGTCCCAGCACTTTGCCCCTCCCCATGGCCTTGCCCACGAGCCTGTCCTGCCCCCTCTGGGCCCCCCTCATTGAATTCTATCCCACTTGCTCTCTTCCACTCAGAGGAGCCCCATGGCTGTTTCTCTCTGGCTGAGCGCCCCTCACCACCCAAGGCTTGGGACCAGCTGCGGGCAGTATCCGGGGGGAGCCCTGAGCGGCGAACCCCATGGAAACCACCCCCATCAGATCTTTACGGGGATCTGAAGAGCCGACGGAACTCTGTGGCCAGCCCCACCAGGTGAGAATGAGCCCCTCCTCCCCTCCGAAGGAGCTGGGAATGGGATAGTAAGCCTGGGCTGGCAGAGGGTCTGCTGGTGGGTACAGTCTCTAACCTAGGCCTGCCTGTCTCTGTCTAGCCCCACACGCTCGCTGCCCAGGAGTGCCTCCAGTTTTGAGGGGCGAAGTGTGCCTGCCACCCCAGTCCTCACCCGGGGCGCTGGCCCCCAGCTCTGCAAGTAAGGGGAATCTGAGGATGACCTGGAGGATCAGAGGGGAGGGAACCATTAGTTCTCACTGGAAGCTTGAGGACGGCATTATCAAAAGGTGTGGGATCGCTGGGCGCGGTGGCTCATGCTTGTAATCCCAGCACTTTGGGAGGCCGAGGTGGGCGGGTTACTTGAGGTCAGGGGTTCAAGACCAGCCTGACCAACATGGTGAAACCCCATCTCTACTAAAAATACAAAAATTAGCTGGGTATGGTGGGGCATACCTGTAATCTCAGCTACTTGGGAGGCTGAGGCAGGAGAATCGCTTGAACCTGGGAGGCAGAGGTTGCAGTGAGCTGAGATCAAGATTGTGCCATTGCACTCCAGCCTGGGCGACAAGAGCAAAACTCCGTCTCAAAACAAAAAAACAAAAGGTGTGGGACATGGGAGGCTGGGAGTTAAAAGTGAGCAGGCATCTCGGTGGATAATGGGGTAGGGATTTGGGGCAGAAGCATCAAAGTTTTGAGTATGGGCTTTTCTGTGCATTTTGGACAAGCCATTCTCCTTTTCTGAATCAGTCTCCTCATTTGTGAAATGGAAATAATAGTATCTGCCTTTGAAAAACATGGACATAATAAGTTCTGGTTAACATATACTGAGTGCTTGCCACCTGCTAGGAATTAGTGGCACCAACTCATTCAATCATGAGATCCCTGTGAGGTGGGTGCTATTGTTATTCCCATTTTATAGATGAGGCAAATGAGGCACAGAAAACTGTTAGTTTCTGTTAGTTTGTTAGTAAACTGAAGTCCTGGAGTTTGAGCCCAGGCAAGTTTTACTCTAGAGTCCATGCTTTTAACCATTGTCCTCTTCTGCTTCTTAAACAGAGTGCCTACTTTCCCCAGGCTCTGAACAAAACCAAGTCCCCGCCCTTGTGGGGCTTGCATTCTGTGAATGGTGGCTGTTGGGATGGTAGCTTTGGGTGGTTCATACATATGGTCGGATAGAGAATTCAGGCAGGGTTTTACGTGTGGGCCCTAAGGCCTAGGACTCAATCCTGGAGGCCGTGGGAGCCGTGAGAAGGGCCTTAGCATGGGGAGGGGTCAGCTGGATTAGGAAGAGCCCCCTGCCCGGCACCTACTCTGCTAGCCTTTCCTCTGAGTCCCTACACAGATTTACAGCTCTCTTGGAGCTAACAGTGCCAGGCCTCCCCCATACATTTCTACCCCCGACCCCCTAGCCTAGGACAGAACCTCAGCCGCCCTTTACATGTCACTACCTGCCACCTTTATACACACAGCTTCCAACCCTGGGCCCATTTGGAGATGTGAAAGTGAAGGCTCAGAAAGGGGTGGGGTAGCGAGGGCACTGCACACCTTCTGCCTGATTTTTCTGACCCTATTCCCATGACCCTCGCCTCTCACCTCAGACCTGAAGGCCTTCATTCTCGTCAGTGGTCCGGCAGCCAGGACTCCCAGATGGGCTTCCCCCGGGCGGACCCTGCCTCCGATCGCGCCTCCCTCTTCGTAGCTCGCACCCGCCGCAGCAACAGCTCTGAGGCCCTGCTGGTGGACCGGGCTGCTGGTGGGGGAGCTGGCTCCCCGCCCACCCCTCTGGCTCCCTCTGCCTCTGGCCCCCCAGTCTGCAAGAGCAGTGAGGTGCTGTATGAGCGCCCCCAACCAACCTCTGCCTTCTCCTCCCGCACAGCAGGCCCCCCAGACCCTCCCCGGGCCGCCCGGCCTAGCTCAGCTGCCCCTGCCTCCCGAGGTGCCCCCCGGCTCCCACCTGTGTGTGGGGACTTCCTCTTGGACTACTCCTTGGACCGGGGTCTGCCCCGCAGTGGTGGTGGAGCAGGCTGGGGGGAGCTGCTGCCTGCAGCTGAGGTCCCAGGACCCCTCTCCCGCCGGGATGGGCTCCTCACCATGCTCCCCGGCCCACCACCTGTGTATGCAGCTGACAGCAACAGCCCCCTCCTCCGCACCAAGGACCCCCACACCCGTGCCACCCGCACCAAGCCCTGTGGCCTGCCCCCAGAGGTTGCCGAGGGTCCTGAGGTGCATCCAAACCCTCTGCTGTGGATGCCTCCACCCACCCGTATCCCCTCGGCTGGTGAACGCAGTGGCCACAAGAACCTGGCTCTGGAGGGGCTGCGGGACTGGTACATCCGGAACTCGGGACTGGCCGCGGGGCCCCAGCGCCGGCCTGTGCTCCCTTCCGTGGGCCCGCCACACCCACCCTTCCTCCATGCCCGCTGCTATGAGGTGGGCCAGGCGCTGTACGGGGCCCCCAGCCAGGCGCCACTCCCACACTCGAGGAGTTTCACGGCGCCCCCTGTCTCTGGCAGGTATGGGGGGTGCTTTTACTGATGGGTAGGGGTCTCTTAAGGCAGATGGCGAAGATATCCAGGCCAGGGAGTGGCTAGTCATGATAGCTAATGAATTGGACCATGAGGAAACTAGCTGCCGTGATGGCACAGGGTCACTACTGCACATGACCTGCATTAGTCCATGGGGTCCTGGTGGAGGGGATCTTGGGCACTGGTAGCAGCAGTTCTTTATCAAGTTATAGGCTGAAGATGAGCCTTGAAGCCAGGGTGCTGGGAGGAAGGGACATCTCATGCCCCTCGCCGTTTTCTTCCTTGTTTCTCCATGCCCTGGAGCCTGAAAGTGCTGTCCTGTGCCTGCCTCCACCTCTTTAACGAGTCTCTTTTCCTTTCTTTTTATGTGTCTTGTCTGTCTTTTCCTCTTCTTGTCTTCCCCGCCCTGTCCTCCGGATTCCTGCTACCCCTTCTAAAGATACTACGCGGACTTCCTGTATCCCCCGGAGCTGAGCGCTCGTTTAAGTGACCTGACGCTAGAGGGGGAGCAGTCCTCCAGTTCTGACACCCAGACCCCGGGGACACTGGTCTGACCCCTTCTGATATGTCCCTTCTTGGCTTGGGCACGATTCCAATCTGGGGAGCACATAGCTGACCTCGCTGGGCCCTGGGGTGTGGTTGCTCTCAGTCCTGAATGCAGTGCGCCAACCTAATCTTCCAAGGCCCCTGGCTCCCCGTAGGCCCAGGAAGGTGTCTGACACCCTGCTTCTTCTCTCACACTGTGCTGGGGACTGGGGGCCCTCAGCCAGCTTAAAAGAGAGAGGATAATGTCATGGGGACCCCAAGCCCCTTCATCCATTTATGTTTACAGTTGTGACTTAGGTATTCATTGTCTTCCTCCAACACTAGGCGTTTTATAAAAGGGAAACTTGATCTCCTCTGGTTGGGTTCATTCCTGTTCCCATGCCCAACCGGGTTCCATTCAGTAACCCCCTCCATAAAATGGACCATATCGGGTCTCAGGGCCATTTAGGGCAGCCAGGAGACTCCGGTGTGAACAGAAATCCCTGCCACGCATCGCCAGGGCAGTTGTTGGGGCATTGGGCTCTCTGCCCACGCTTGGAAGGACTGCATTCTGGGTGGGATGCCTGAAGGAGTCCAACCCCGTCTGTGCCCACGGCCTCTGCCCTGACCACCCCCAGTAAGGAGGCCCCACAGGAGGGGCAAAGGGCAGAGCCATCAGGTGTGCCGTGTCCTGGGATCCTATGGGGGTTGAACCTGGCATCTACCAGACCTGGCACCGGTAGATGCCAGTAAAATCCTCAGGTGAGGTCTGGCTACAGGCTGCGGGCCACAGGCCGCTCACCACTCACACCTTCCTTGGCTTTCCTTCCATCCACCCCCCCTTTTTTTTTCTTTTCCTCGAGACGGAGTCTTGCTCTGTCACCAGGCTGGAGTGCAGTGGCACAATCTCAGCTCGCTGCAACCTCCGCCTCCTGGGTTCTCCTGCCTCACCCTCCTGAGTAGCTGGGATTACAGGCACACGCCACCACACCCAGCTAATTTTTGTATTCTTAGTAGAGACAAAGTTTCACCATATTGGCCAGGTTGGTCTTGAACTCTTGACCTCACGATCTGCCCACCTTGGCCTCCCAAAGCACTGGGATTACAGCCGTGAACCACTGCACCCAGCCCCCATCCACCACTTTTTAAGCAAACCCACACAAATTGTGTTTTCTATGATACCTGTCTGTGACTTTCGGAGCTGGGGGTTCCCCTACCCCCTTTTCCTGGTGTTAAACTTTTCTTTTTATACCAGTGGATCTGGGCCCAAGACATTATCCACACTGGAAGGGGATTTGTATAATAAATGTGTAAACTGAACCCATGTGTTGCTGCTGCTCTATCTGCCTCACCTTGAGGGCCCACACCTCTAGTCAAGACCAGATAATATATTTTTACAGGAAAAAAACATACCTTGGGAATAGCCTGTGATAGTGTCATCTGTTTTGACTTTACTTGCTTTGTGATGTGGGGCAACTTCTTTGCCTGTCTGCACTCAGATTTCTAGCCAACCTCTAACAATAACTCTTGGTAATATAAATGATGATAACAAAGACTCTGTCCTTAACCTCCCTATGCATTGTTTTTAATTTTTTTTTTTAATTTTTTTTTTTTGAGACAATGTCTCACTGTGTTGCCCAGGCTGAAATGTAGTGGCGCAATAACGGCTCACTGCAGCCTTGACCTCCCGGACTCAATCTTCCCACCTCAGCTGCCTGAATAGCTGAAACTACAGTTGTGCACCACACCATACCCACTAATTAAAAAAAAAAAGTAGGCTGGGCGCGGTGGCTCACGCCTGTAATCCTAGCACTTTGGGAGGCCAAGGCTGGCAGATCATGAGGTCAGGAGATTGAGATCATCCTGGCTAACACAGTGAAACCTCGTCTCTACTAAAAATACAAAAAATTAGCCGGGCATGGTGGCACATGCCCATAATCCCAGCTACTCGGGAGGTTGAGGCAGGAGAATCACTTGAACCCAGGAGGCAGAGATTGCAGTGAGCCGAGATCACGCCACTGCACTCCAGCCAGGGTGACAGAGCAAGACTCTGTCTCAAAAAAAAAAAAAAAAAAAAAAAAAATTGTAGAGATGGGGTCTCATTATGTTGCCCAGGTTAGTCTCGGACTCCTCGGCTTGAGCAGTCTTCCTGCCTCAGCCTCCCAAAGTGCTACCATGCCCAGCTTTTTGAGACAGGTTCTCACTGTTGCCCAGGTTGGAGTGCAGTGGCACAATCAGCTCACTGCAGCCTCTACCTCTTAGGCTCCAGCCATCCTCCTGCCACAGCCTCCCAAGTAGCTGGGACTACAAAAGCACACCACCATGCCCAGCTAAATTTTAATTTTTTTGTAGAGAGAGAGTCTTGCTATATTGCCCAGGCTGGTCTCAAACTCCTAGCCTCAAGTGATCCTCTAGTCTCAGCCTCCCGAAGTGTTGGAATTACAGGCATGAGCCACCACACCTGTCCTTCCCTGTGCTTTAATGCTGATCCAGAGGTAAGTTTCAAGGAAGGGCCTCAGAGATCACCTCTTCAGCCTGCATATTCAGGAAAAGTCTAGCAGAATTGAAAAGTAGAAGGCCACTTCTGTCCTTTGAAATGTATAAGAACTTTACCCAGGAGGCTCAAACTGGCATGAGAGATGCAACAGGCTTTATTGTTGCAGCAACACTAACATATATGCCCCATTCCCTGCTGAGGCCTGTCCCCACCTCACCCCTTGGTTGTCAATGATGTGGAACATTGGGGTGAGGGGCAAAATCCCTAAGCAGAGCTGGAGGGAGGCAAGTGGGACTGGTGAGGGTCGGGATCACCTGGGACCAGGGGTCCAACAGTCAGGATACCCAACTCCATCCACACAGGGGCATGGAACACTTGGGTTTTGAGTTCAAGATTTGGCAATGTCTTGACCTAGGTTGGAAGGTAGGGTAGGGTCTGGAAAAGCTTTGGTCCAGGATTCAAGATTTGAGAGTGCTTTGCCTCAGGCCCCAGTTTGGGGCTGAGCATGGAGAAGGGTGGATGGGAGTGTCTCTGGGTTCACAATTTGAAATTGGCCATGGATGCTGTGGCCTGAAGCCCCAGTGTTGGGGCTGGATGTAGGTGGCTCTTGGTTCTAGGTTCAGGGCTGGGGAAGACTCTTGTCCCTAGGTTATGGGGGCTGGGTGTGAGGGATATCTTAGTTTGGGGCTGGCGTGGGGGTAGGGTGGTCATAGATGTCCTGTTTTGTTTGGGCAGGGGGCTCTAGGCTCCTGTTTTAAGTGCTGGGAAAGGGCTCTGGGTCCCAATTATGGGCTGGGGGTGGGGTGGTATTCTCCAGGTCCTGAGTACAGATCCTAGGGGCCTAGGATCCAGCCTCTTGCTCTTGTCCCAGCGCCTCTAGTAGCAGGCCCATTGGCGTCCGCTTGAGACCAATGCTCTCGATCTTGTTCTCAATCTTGTTCTTAAGGTTGCGCAGGCGCAACGAGGCGTGCACCAGGATCACTGTGGGCGGCACCGAGAGGGGTGGTCAGTGGAATAGACCTCAGCCTGCAGCCAACCGGGGCCCACCGAAGGGAATTGGCGCGCAGGCAGGCCAATCGAGTGGTGAGCGGCCAGGACGCCTCAGATACTGAAAGCGTGGCCGAGTAATTGGCTTGGCAACGTGGGCATGGCCAGGGAAGGCGCCCGGTAACGGGGACGTGGCCAGTGGAAGGCACTTAACACCAGGAGTGAGATGGGAAAGGCGATAATAAAAGGGGTGTTCCCAGAAGGGGGAACGAAGTCCGGGAAGGCGCTTTTTAGCGGGGGCGTGGTCAGGCCCTCGGGTTTCCCAGCCCCCTCTCAACCCGGGGACCGGGGCAGGGCTGGCCTGGTGCCTTAAGCATGTTCTGGCCGCTTTCCTGGCTATCTCGGGGTAGTGGAGACTCACGAAGCACCGGCCCGGCGATGCTGAGCAGGAAGGTGCAAGCGCCGCCCACGACCCAGAGAACCAGGAGGCCGACGGCAAGCACTGCGGCCAGGCAGGCAGCAGGGTGGCTGCGGCGGCAGCGGCGCACAGCTGCGCGGGTCTCAGCTGCCCACACCAGCATGCCGAGGGCCACCGCCACTACCAGCGCGCTCAGAAGCGTGTGCAGCGGACGCACGTACCTGCGGGTACAAGGGAACTAAGCTAGCCGGCCGGGCGGAGAGACGGCCTCCGGGACCACCACCCACCCTGGGCCCCAAGAGCCAGGGTCTCCCGTCTCCGGACACTCCAGCTCGGCACATCCTCCCACCAGCCCTGTCTCCAGCAGGCCCATCTGCCAGGGCTCCCGACTCACCCCCGTGGACCCCTCCTTTCCTCCCTGTCAATTCCACTGTCCTGTCTTCCTGAAGTCCCCACTTCAGGCCTTCCCATCCAGCTAGAGAAGACTCCCCATACCCCCGGGCTCCCAACACTTCTCTGGACTTTCCTTCCGACTCTACCCACACAGGGCCCCTCATCAGCCTGCCCGCAAGCTCCCTCTTTAACCCCAGCCCCTGCAAATCCCTCTTCCAGGCCTGTCTCCACACATTACCCTCTCCCCAGGCCTAGGGTCCTTATAGGAGCCCCCTCCAGGCTCCCATTTCCCTATAGATTCCTCCCTCCATCATTGCTAGAACCTTTTCCAGGTTGTCAGCCCCACTCTGAACTTCTAGCACTGCTCAAGTCCCTCCTCCAGATTCTCCATCCCTCTCTGGTCTCACGCTTTCCAACCATGGATCGTTCTCCTGGGCCCAAGTTCCCCAACAGGTACCTGCCCCTGGCGCCTTCCAGTCATGGCCAGGCTCCCCTCCAAGACCGGATCCCCAATAAATACATGTTCCAAACCCTCCAACTTTACCGTCTATTTCCCAGTCTCTGCCCTAAGTACTCCAGGGTCGGCCTCAATCTGGCCCCATCATTCACATTACCCCCCCACCACACCCCTCAAGTACTCTCACGTCCCCCTTTGGGGCCCTCCTTTTTTTCCGGTTCACCTTCCAGCCCACCTTCCCCTTCCGTCCCACACTTGTCTGCATCTTCCCCAGATATTCCCTCTAGACCCCCATCCCCCGCAGGCCCTCCTCATCAGCCAGGCTCCATCTCCCTGAGGCCCTCCTTATAACCAGGCTCCACCTCCTTCAAGGTCTCCCTTCCAAGCCCCTCAGGCCGTCCATCTCTACTGACTTCGCCCTTCCCGGCCTTGCATCCCCACTCAGGTTCCCTGTCCTGGTCCTCAAAGACCTGTGGGTGTACCCCCCCACGCTCTGCAGACGTCCCCGGCCAACCGGCGCCTCCCTCCCTCACCCGGCAAGAGCGAGGCCGATGCCGAAGCAGAGAAGATAGTTGGTTTGGTAGTAGAGGAGGTTGTTGATGACGCGGTGGCACCATCGCTGCGGGTCGCATGGATCCGGAGCCGCCAGACGCGCCGACCCCAGAACAAAGTCGTCCAGGGCGCGTAGCGGTGGCAGCCGTACCTCCGACATCCTGCCGGTTAATGTGGCTGGACCAGCCAGGAGGGGGCCGGACTACAACAACCGTTACGCCCCTCGCCACCGCGGGGCACACCGGGAAATGGAGTCTGGGCTGGGCAGCTATTTCCCTAACCTCCTAGGTGGATTGCGCAGGGGCGGCGATGCACGTGACCGGAAAAGCAACTAACACGCCGCTCAGAAAAGCAGCAAAGGCTGCCGGGAAATCAAGCCTTGGCCGCCAGGCTAGACGTTCCCAACCCTTAAAACTCCTATCCACCCCCGCGCGGGGCGCCGCAGGGGCTGCTCCGGGCGGTGCCAGCGGCTCAAGCACAAAGTAACCAGACAGATAAGAAAGGAGGGACTGTCACAAGGATCCGAGTTGGATTCCACCTCCTTCCTGTCAGCGTCCAAAAGGGTCACATTTCTCCAGGAAACTCCATGCCCCGCTCCTGAGGTCAAGCCGTAAATGCCATTAAGGGCCTTTTATTCGTATTCATCATATCGGAAATCATCTCTTCCTAGGAAGCTTTTAAAAAATCTCCAGGTTGGATTAGGGCACTCCCTCTGGGTCCCTGGCCTAGCCCTTGGGGCACACAGTCATCAAGAAGTGCTGGGGGGAATTGAGCTCTTTATTTAGACATAGCTCTGCTGAGTGAAAAGTGGGCACCGGCCCCATTAATGCTTGCTGGCTGGTGGCTTCCAAGCACGCCCCACTGCCAAGGCTCAGCTCTGCAGTCTGCCACTGCAGGTCCCTAGCACAGCCCCCAGGGTCCTTAAAAGTCATCATCATCACAGATGTCAAGGTACACGTCGAAAGCCTCTCTGTTGCAGTTTCCATCAGGAGTGAAGACATATTTGTGGAAGGTCCCATCTACGCAGATGGCTGGGGGAGGGGGAGTGGTAAAAGGTCAGAGGCTGCCACAGCCACAGGTTCCAATCCTCTCAGGCATCTCAGGACCTAGGGTCTGCCTCCAGGCCTTTGCCCAGTGCTGTCCCCCTTACTGAAGATGAAGCTGAGCCTCACGTGGCCCTAAAATTCTTTCAGGTCCAACCTACAGGCCTCTGCCCCATGCAGTACCCCCAACCAAGGGGCTGTTACCACTCACCAATGACAGAGTTGACGTTCTTGGAAGTATTGCGACCGAAGGCGCAGATGCAAGCTGACTCAGCAGGCACAGTGAAGCTCGCCAGGCTCCACTGAGAGTCCACGTACTGCCCAATCATAGGCCCCACCTTGCCCACGCGAGCCAGCCTGCAGGCAGCACTGGCTAAGCCCAGGTATGGTAAACGGGCAGGGGGACAGGGAGGGACACGATAGGGTGGGGAGGGGGTACTCACGCGGAGCGGCGGTTGAGGCGGGTATCTTTGAGAGCAAAGATATGGACGGTGCCCTTATCACTGGAAGCGCAGAGGAAGGAGGAGTCGTGACTGAAGTTAATGCTAGAAGACAGATCAGCAGTGATGCCCACATGTCATGTGGTATGGGGTCACCAGCCCCCCATGCATACCCTGTGCTCACCAGTAGAGAGTGGCAGGGTCAGTGCCTCGGCGCAGCTCCACCAGTTTCTCCTTGGATTGTGTGTCAAAGAGGCGGATAAGGGTACCCTTCTGGGAGGCTGAGGCCACTACAGTGCCTGGCTGGTTTAGAGACACACAGGCTATGTCACTCTGATGTGCATTGATGGTGAATGGAGCAGACGAGGTGCCAGGCTTTGTGCTCGCCAGGTCCTGGGGTAGGAGGGAGGAGTCTGAGGTTGAGGTGGTATGGAGGGAAGGGGCCAAGAGTCCACAAGGAAAGCCAGTCCACCAACCTTCCCACCCTTGTCCACTGGACGGCTCACCACAAGTTGCAGACTCCCACACTTGTGTCCCGGGAACACTAACAGTTGCTTCTCCAGGCTGGGGCAGAGGTCACAGAGCCCTAGGGTGTGAAGATGAGGGTGGGTGGGCGGCTGAAGAGGAGGCAGCATCTCACAATGGACAGAGCTGGATGAGGACCAGACTTCAACCCTTCATGATAAGCTTAACCCAAAGAACCCTGAGGGGGCTCACCTCAGCTGCACGCCCTGCCAGCTAAGCAGATTCCATTCCTTGCTCTGCAGCTGTGGAATCTAGTAAGCTGCTATAACAGCCCCAGGAGGCTCAGGGATCCCTGACACACCCACCCATGTCCTCATGAGGTGTTTCTGCTCTGCCACTGGGGCACCCAGGGGTGGGGCAGGGCCAGAGGTGGGGAGAACTGGCTGAGGGCTGGAAAGATGGAGAGGCTGTGAGTGTGAGCATCTCCCTGCCTCTTTCCCCATTTCTCTGTGTGTGTGTGCCCCTTCCTTTCTTTCCTCATCTCTGCCCCTCTGTCCCATCCACTGTTTCATGTCCTTACACCTGTGTATCTGAGCCCTCTCACCCTTGGGGTTGTCCCGGGTATCAAACTCAAACAGCTTTCGGGGATTGTCAGGGAAGGAGTACACATAGATGCGGTTCTTCAGCACGATCACGATCCTGTGGGTATCACACAACACAGGATGGCCGTGAGGGGTCGGCGGGATGCCCAGGGAGGACTATCCCTCTCACTTGCTGTGGGGACTTCCTACCTCCCACCCCCGTCCTCCTCAGGCTCACTTGTCATGGCGCATGCGCACAGAAAGCACTGGCTTGGTGAAGGTGAACTCCAGCACCAGCTTCTCCTTGGAGTCCTTGCCCTCCCGGGCATCGTCCCAGATCAGCACTGCTGGGCAGGTGGGTGGGTTGTCGGGGCCAAGGTTTAGGGTAAGGGGCAGCCCTGGTGACACAGGATCCACCCCTGCTTCCCAGGGACCTCAACCTACTTACTTAGCCTTTCAATAAACACCCAGTGAGATCCTCGCACAGTACGAGCACTTGTGGACATGATCTCTGGGAGGAGTGTTCTAGACTATTACACTCATCTACAGATGAGGAAACTGAGGTTCAAAGTGGTTGAGTGCTGGCCAAGGACCTCAAAGCCCATCAGCAACCAAACAGGGACTCACACTCGGACCTGTAACTTCCCCTGGGTAACTATTTCTGCCTCCAGGGTCCTAGTCCATGCACCCTGGAGATTTCCATGAGGAATCCTAGGGCTCTGTGACTCACCTAGGGTGACTCCTGCCCTGTCCAGAGGGGATCAGCAAGAAAAATCCTTAAAGCAAGATGGCACTTGAGGCTCAAGCCAAGTGGGTATTGGGAATACGGCTCCAAGATTTTAAAACCTATTGCTTGTGTGACCTTGGATGAGTTACTTAACTGTACTGGGCCTCAGTTTCCTCACTGGTAAAAATGGGGACAACGATCCTTCCTACCCCATAGAGTTACTGTGAGGATTAAATGAGTTAATATATGTAAAGTGCTTAGGGCAGTCCCAGGCTCACAGTAAGTGCTCTAGGGCATGGCACACAGGAGGCACTTAATCAGCATTTTTAAAATGAAAACAAAGCACCAAGCTTCTCAAGCTATAAGATCCATGACTTCCAAGCTGTAGGCCTCCTCACTGTGTGACTCTGAAGTACTCTGACATCTTCATCTGCCAGTACCTTGGGGTGCCTGTGGGAGGCCAGGAATCCGAGAAATCTGGGCCAAAGGGCAGGATGAGGGCACTTACCTGAGATCTCTGAGAACTTAGGGCTACTACCACCGCCCACCAAGGCCAGAAGGTTGGAGCGGTGCAGCATCTCCACCAAGCCCATGCTGCCCACTTGCTCGTGGTCTGGACAGGGACCAGGGTGTCAGTGGAGGTAGGAACCAATGCCCAGCCCAGCTCTTCTGCCCATTGCCCCTCCCCTGCCAACAGCTCACCCAGATGCCCCTTCTCCATCAAGGGCTCCACGTTGTAGATGCGCACACCTGTCTCCATGGCGCAACAAAAGCAGCCTGGGGGATGGAAGGAGTCCAGACTGCCTTAAAGAATGCCCAGGTAGGAAGCTGGGGGCCCATGGCCCACTTCTGACCCCTCTTTCCCTTGCTCCCTCCCACAAGGGTACAGGCCCAAGCCTCTCTCACTTTGGTCTTGGTTGAAACGCAGGCTGGTCACTCCTCGAAGTGGCTGTTGAGTCATGGTCCAGGATTGTTCCCCTGGATACAAATGGGATAAAGATGAGGAGTCCTGGAGTCTCCCCTCCAAGTTCTGCCTCACCTGATTTCCTCCTCCTCCCACTCTGCTAACACTGACTCTGGACTGACTGCAAAATAGATAAAAACAGGCTGGGTGTGGTGGCTCATGCCTGTAATCCCAGCACTTTGGGAGGCCGAGGCGGGTGGATCACCTGAGGTCAGGAGTTAGATCAGCCTGGCCAACATGGTGAAATCCCGTCTCTAGTAAAAATAAAAAATTACCCAGGTGTAGTAGGGCACACCTATAATCCCAGCTACTCAGGAGGCTGAGGCAGGAGAATCACTTGAACCCAGGAGGCAGAAGTTGCAGTGAGCCGAAATCGAGTTATTGCATTCCAGCCTGGGTGACAGAGCGAGACTCCGTCTCGGGGGAAAAAAAAAAGATAAAAACAGAGAGAGTCTCAGGGTCTCTGCTCTAAGCTCCCAAGATCCCAAACAGCATGGCCAGGAACCCTCCCTCTTTCAGGTTTGGCAAGCTCCAGGCCCACACTGACATGGACCCCACACCTCCTTTTTACATGCTGGCCCTCACTGACTTGTCAGGAAGTAATGTGATAGGGGGTGCCCCCGTGATATCTTCCCCACCCCCAGCCAATCTTGATCCCAATGCCAGACATGGCCTGGAACCACTCCCAACCCATTTCTCATCTTCACACCTGACCTAGCACCGGACTCTGTCAATAAATAGACAAAAGTGGGCTAGGAGATCCACTTGTACCTCCCTGAGTTGGCCCTGAGACTGCTATGCTTGGTCTGCCATCCCCAGGAACTCCTCTGTTCCTACCCTTCTAACTCTACCCCAACCTATTCGACCACCCCAGAGTCCTCTCACACCTTTCCCCCTCACCAGCTTCCCCAAACCCCTTCAGGATGCCTACCTTGGGATGACCCCTTCTCATGCCTTGGTAACTACCCATCAGGGCCAGCCTAGACACTTCTCTAGATTGGCTTATGCCCTGGGGACTCTACCCTAGGATTCCCCCTAGCACTCTAAATTTTCCACCCCAGGACATCTCCTTCCTTGTGTTCTGCTGTCCTTGACTACAACATAACCTGGCCTGGACCCAACCCCAGGAACCCCACCCATCCTCCTAAGATTCCCTTCTAGACCCCTATCCAAGACCCTGCCTCAGGGCACCCTTACCCTCTAAGACGCTTGCCCAAAACAAACCACCCAAAACTCCTACCTAGGAGAACCTCAACCTCTAAGATGCCTGCACAGTCCCCTACTAAGATTATTGCCATAGAGCCCCCAACTTCCCTTCAAACCCTCAACTCCCCAAGACCTCTGGCCAGACACGCTCCCTCCCCATCCTCCAAGAGCCCAAATCTTCCTTTCTTTCAGTTACACCCTCCACTGGAATGCCTCATGCTCTTTCTTTGGACAGCTCTGCCTTAGAGTTATTCTCTGGACAGCTCCAACTTTCAAGACCCCTTTTTTGCACCTCCATTCCAAATGCCCGCACCACCCCAAACTGCGTCCGGGATGCCTCGCCCCTCTCCCAAGACCAGCCGCATGCTCCTTCTAACGCCAGCACCCACTCAAGACCTCTGCCTTAGACCCCTACTCGAAAGACTCCCAGCCTCCCCCAGACCCCAACCAACCCTGGGATCGTGCTCCAGCTTCCTGCCGCCTTCACCGGCCTGACCTCCGCGTGTCCCTGACCCGGGCCCCAGCTGTCGGTGCCGCCCGCGGCCCGGTTTTCTGACCTCCCGGGCCTTGGAGGCCGGCTCGGGTGTTTACATCGGGCCCTACTTCCGGGGGAGGGAGCCTGTCGCAGGAAATGACTCACCCCAGCTGGAAAAAGGCGGCCACCGCCTTCCTCGCCCAGTTCCCGGGTCTTCGGAGCATCGCGAGTGACAGCGGGGTCCTCCGGGGAGGGCGTGGGGAGCGGAGGAAGGTCGGCTGCGGGACCGGAGGCGAAGGGTGTTCCTCAAGGCCGAGACTGTCTGAGGGAACCGGGAAGGGTGGGGAGAGAGAGCGTGCCTTGCCCCCAGCAGAGCGAAACCGGCCGAGCCCTCGGTCCCTCGGTCACCCACGATGGGGGAGTAAACCTTCCCTGCGAACAAGACGTGGACCTCCGCGGCGACCGAGAGTATCCGCCCCCGTTCGCAACACACAGTCCTCCCAGGCTTCCAAAGGGGCGGTGCTGGGGGCTACAGGCGGCTGCGGACCTGGAGACCTCGAAAGTGGTGAAACCTTGGCTCCGGGAAGCCAAGGAACAGATTTCGCTTTCTTTCTCCCCACCCGCTGCCCCCGCCCCCGCCAGCTCCGAGTTTTGTCTTTTGTGTTTTGTTTGGTCTTGTTTTCTGAGACAGACTCGGGTTCTCGGCTCATTGCAACCTCCGCCTCCCGGGTTCAAACGGTTATCCTGCCTCAGCCTCCGGAGTAGCTGGGATTGCAGGCATGCGCCACCACGCCCAGCTAATTTTTGTATTTTTAGTAGAGACGGGGTTTCACCGTATTGGTCAGGCTGGTCTCGAACTCCTGATCTCAGGTGATGCACCCCCCCCTCGGCCTCCCAAAGTGCTGGGATTACAGGCTTGAGCCACCACGCCCGGCCTCTGCTTTTATTTTTACAAAATACAAAATAGCTTTTTGATGGTAAAAGGTATTAATACTTTGGGTTAAGAAAAAAAAAAAAAAAGAGGTCCTAGCTACGATAAAGCTTTTTTTTTTTTTTTAAAAAAAAAAAAAGGCCTCAAATTATGTACATACTGGAAGGAATTTTTTTTTTTTTTTTTTTTAAAGACAGAGTTTGGCTCTTTTGGCCCAGGCTGGAGTGCAATTAGCATGATCTGGCGGCTCACCACAACCTCCGCCTCCCAGGTTCAAGGGATTCTCCTGCCTCAGCCTCCCAAATAGCTGGGATTACAGGCATGTGCCACCACGCCCAGCTAATTTTGTATTTTTAGTAGAGATGGCGTTTCTCCATGTTGATCAGTCTGATCTCGAACTCCCGACCTCAGGTGATCTGCCTGCCTCAGCCTCCCAAAGTGTTGGGATTACAGGCGTGAGCCACTGCGCGCGGCTGGAAGGATTTTTAATTAAACTTTACATTAAGAAATAATAAATAGGCTGGGCGCGGTGGCTCACGCCTGTAATCCCAGCACTCTGGGAGGCCAAGGCAGGCAGATCACGAAGTTAGGAGTTCGAGATCAGCCTTGCCAGCATGGTGAAACCCCATCTCTACTAAAAATACAAAAAATTAGCCGGACATTGTGGTGCACACCTGTAGTCCCAGCTACTCGGGAGGCTGAGGCAGGAGAATCACTTGAACCTGGGAGGCAGAGGTTGCAGTGAGCGGAGATCGCACCACTGCACTCCAGCCTGGGTAATAGAGTGAGACTCTGTCTCAAAAAAAAAAAAAAAAAATTAGCCGGGCATGGTGACACGTGCCTGTAATCCTAGCTACTGGGGGAGGCTGAGGCAGGAGAATCGCTTGAACCTCGGAGGCAGGTTACAGCGAGCCCAGATCCTGCCATTGCACTCCAGCCTGGGTGACAAGAGTGAAACTCCCGTCTCAAAAAAAAAAAAAAAAAAAAAATGGACCAGGCATGGTGGTGCATGCCTGTAATCCCAGCACTTTGGGAGGCCAAGGCAGGTGGATTGCCTGAGCTCAGGGGTTTGAGACCACCCTGGGCAACATGGTGAAACCTCCTCTCTACTAAAATACAAAAAATTAGCTGGGCATGGCCGGGCGCGGTGGCTCAAGCCTGTAATCCCAGCACTTTGGGAGGCCGAGACGGGCGGATCACGAGGTCAGGAGATCGAGACCATCCTGACTAACACGGTGAAACCCCATCTCTACTAAAAAAAATACAAAAAACTAGCCGGGCGCGGTGGCGGGCGCCTGTAGTCCCAGCTACTCGGGAGGCTGAGGCAGGAGAATGGCGGGAACCCGGGAGGCGGAGCTTGCAGTGAGCCGAGAGAGCGCCACTGCACTCCAGCCTGGGGCACAGAGCCGAGACTCCGTCTCAAAAAAAAAAAAAAAAAAAAAAGCCTGGGGCACAGAGCCTAGACTCCGTCTCAAAAAAAAAAAAAAAAAAAATTAGCTGGGCATGGTGGTGGGCACCTGTAAGTCCCAGCTACTCGGGAGGCCGAGGCAGGAGAGCGGCGGAACTCCGGGAGGCGGAGCTTGCAGTGAGCCGCAGAGAGCGCCACTGCACTCCAGCCTGGGCACAGAGCCGAGACTCCGCCTCAAAAAAAAAAAAAAAAAAAAAAAAAAAAAAAAAAAAAAAAAAAATTAGCTGGGCATGGTGGTGGGCACCTGTAAGTCCCAGCTACTCGGGAGGCTGAGGCAGGAGAATCGTTGGAACCCAGAAGGCAGAGGTTGCAGTGAGCCAAGATCGCACCACTGCACTCCAGCCTGGGCAACAGAGGGAAACCCTGTCTCCAAAAAAAAAAAAAAAAACAGAATATTCTTGAAAAGAAATACGCTTTTTGCAGTGGCAGTATCATAGCTGATGAGGTTTAGCCAAGGTATGGTTGTTGCTAATTGGAAACTTCCCAGTACCCCACCCCGAAGACTTGCAACATAGTCGGCACTGGCAATTGTTGACAGTCTATGGAGACTGAGTATTAAAGAAAAAAAATGAAAAAATACAGAGAAATCTCATTCTTTTAATATAATCAGGGTTTCACATTGATGCAATTCCTCCATCCTTTACTTTTTTTGAAGTATTGTTTTGATGCTTCTGTTTCTTCATATATTAACATATAAGAACATCTTTTCAACTGGTTCATGATATTATGTAGCATTGTTCAGCCCTTCCCCAACTGATGGCTGCCTAGGTTGTTTCAGATACTGTGTTGTTAATTCCCATGGACATATTTACTTGTGAATTTTGGCCCTATATACTCCCCTTGGCATGATTCCCCTACTGTGCTCAACAAGGCCAGTCATCTGGCTTTCTTCAGATTCCACTTCCTCATGTCCCAGACCATATTCAACTCAATTCAATTTGGTGTGTGTCACTCCCATGTTTTTGGGACTGCTCTTAACCAGACCACCGATGCATAATAATCTTGCCAAACCAGCAATCAATTCTGTGCCCTTTCCTGTGACTTTCTAGTGAAACCCACGATTCCTCTCACTTTCTTGGTTTTTCTTTTTCTTTCTTTCTTTTCTTTTTTTTTTTTTTAAGATGGAGTCTCACTCTGTCACCTAGGCTGGAGTGCAGTGGCACGATCTCGGCTCACTGCAACCTCTGCTTCTTGGGTTCAAGTGATTCTCCTGCCTTAGCCTCCCGAGTAGCTGGGATTACAGGCATGCGCCACCATGCCCAGCTAATTCTTTTTTTTTTTTTTTGAGATGGAGTCTCACTGTTGTCACCCAGGCTGGAGTGCAGTGGCGCGATCTCCGCTCACTGCAACCTCCGCCTCCCAGATTCAAGCGTTTCTCCTGCCTCAGCTTCCTGAGTAGCTGGGATTATGGGCACACACCACCACGCCCAGCTAATTCTGTATTTTTAGTAGGGACGAGGTTTCACCATGTTGGTCAGGCTGGTCTGGAACTCCTGACCTTGTGATCCACCCACCTCGGTCTCCCGAAGTGCTGGGATTACAGGCATGAGCCACCATGCCAGGCCTCTCTTGTTTTTTTTTTTTTTTTTTTTTTTCTCCATCTCTGGCTACTCCACTTGTATCAAACTTCCAAGTATTAGAATATCCTTGGGTATAATCCTGTCTGATCCTCTCTTCCTAAGTGACTGCCTCTTCTCCCATAGCCTTAATTATTGCAAATATTTAGAAGATCCTCTAGGCCTTCAGCTTAGACCTTTCTCTGGAACACCAGACACAAACGTACTGCAATGACCTGTTTGACGTTCATGTGGGTGTCGCATGCTGCTTATCCATCCAAACAGATTTATCCTATTTCCCTTACTCAGATGCTCCCCCACTGTCTCCTTTATCTCAACCAATGGCATCACAATGCAGTTTGTATCCAGGTATGGTGGCTCACGCCTGTAATCCCAGCACTTTGGGTGGGCGAGGCGGGTGGATCACTTGAGGTCAGGAGTTGAGAGCAGCCTGGCCAACGAGGTGAAACCCCATCTCTACTAAAAATACAAAAATTAGCTGGGTGTGGTGGTGCGTGCCTGTAATCACAGCTACTAAGGAGGCTGAGGTGGGAGAATCACTTGAACCCGGGAGGCAGAGGTTGCAGTGAGCTGAGATTGCACCACTGCACTCCAGCCTGGGTGACAGAGCAACGTTCCATCTAAAAAAAAAAAAAAAGAATAAAAATAAAAATACATTTTGTTACTTGAGTCAAAGAGCAGATATATCATGCTTAATTCCCCTATGTTTTCTTTTTCTTTCTTTTCTTTCTTTCTTTTTTTTTTTTTTTTTTGAGATGGAGCCTTGCTCTGTTGCCCAGGCTGGAGTGCAATGGCGTGGTCTCGGCTCATTGCAACCTCTGCCTTCTGGGTTCAAACGATTCACCTGCCTCAGCCTCTCAAGTAGCTAGGATTACAGGCTCCCACCACTACACCCAGCTAATTTTTGTATTTTTAGTAGAGGCGGGGTTTCGCCACCTTGGTCAGGCTGGTCTCGAACTCCTGACCTTGGGCGATCCACCTGCCTCGACCTCCCAAAGTGCTGGGATTACAGGCGTGAGCCACCACGCCCAGCTGATTCCCCTACATTTTCATTGGCAAATTCTGTTGATCCCACTGTCAAAAGTTATCATGGGCTGGGCATGGTGGCTCATGCCTGTAATCTCAGCACTTTGGGAAGCTGAGGTGGGAGGATTCCTTGAGGCTAGGAGTTTGAGAGCAGTCTGGGCAAGTCCCTGTCTCTACAAGAAAAAAAGGTGTCATGCACTCTGTCAAAGTGGAATAACAGGGACCAAATTTGCCCTCTCACAGGAAACAACCAACTTTGCCCCCCACAAAAAACCAAAATACATGAAACAATAATTTTCTTTTTTTTTTTGACGGACTCTCACTTTGTCGCCCCGGCACAATCTTGCAATGGCAAGATCTCGGCTCACTGCAACCTCTGCCTCCCAGGTTCAAGTGATTCTCCTGCTTCAGCCTCCTGAGTAGCTGGGGTTATAGGCACCTTGCCACCATGCCCGGCTAATTTTTGTATTAGTAGAGATGGGGTTTCACCATGTTGGCCAGGCTGGTCTTGGACTCCTGACCTCAGGTATTCTGCCCGCCTCAGCCTCCTAAAGTGCTGGGATTAG